CTGATAATATAAACTGCAGAGCCTCTGGTCTAAGACTGTATACTATATCAGGTTTGGTGGCATCAATATTTTATTGTGAAGAATCTATGATTCTCTAATTAATGTACTATAGAAACTGATAAATGAATTAGTATACAAAAATAAGAAAGCATGTGAAATACTTATTATTAGTATAGAACTGCTTCCCTGTAGCAAATATATTATTGCTTAAATACTATAAGAAAAAAGGCATTATATAACTACAGTATATCGTATATCAAAAATTATATAATATGCAATATCATTATATATCACATAATAAACAGTAGTGATATATAAACGTATCGCATAATAAACAATAGTGACATATAAGTGTATCACATGCTGAAACAAAAGAAAAAATTATAACATAAATATTGTGCTATAATGCTGATCAGGATCACTTTATCTGTCTTAAAACACTAAAATGAGCTTTAAATATTCAATCAATAATATGAGTGCAACAGCCCTTATAGAAGCTGATTTGAATGAAATAATAGAAGCACAGTATTATAAGTAAGAGAATAACAAAGTAAAAACAATAAAACCAGTAATATTCCGTAAAAAAAATACTATAACTATGTTTAAAATTCACAAAGAAATTAGAGAAGATTATCTATACTTAAGCAATGCTAAATTTGAAGAGATGATTAATATAACAGATGATTTTTTGATAACTCAAGAAAACGTGAATAATATAAACCATACCAATAAAAATAATGTAGTTGACGAATTAAGTAAAAATGAAAACATCAATAACACAAATGGTAAGACTTATCAATAATTGTAGATTATTTTTTTTTACATCATGATTCATACTATACCTTATACCAGTACTAGTTCTTATACTATTAGAGGACATATCAAAAAATATAACATTCAATACGTGGGAAGAAGTTGAGATATTTTTACAGACTACGGTATTAGAAATAGCTTCGCAGTTAAAAAATATATAATAGGATGTACCAAAACAGTTGCAATATTTAAAAGAACCTTTAGCTGCAAATTTAGTAAAAAATATAAGCCCAATAAACACAGGTTTAATAAATACATAAAAGATACATAACAGGATTCCTTTATCATTCTGATATCTATTCTTTATGTACCCACTCTTAACCTGGTTTGCTACGATTATTTGGCAGATCTATGATAGCATAAAGGATAAATACCAGTACAACATAAAAAATAAATATTAGATAAATAAAGGGTATCTATTAATATCCCGATATCGATCCTTTATTTGATAATTATATATCTGTTTTGCTGCATCTATTTGAAATATAAAAGTTAAATATCAGTAA